TCTGGGAAATTTTGCAGCTGCCAGACGACCATTCCAGTTCATCGATGAATTGACGTGAACCCAGTTAGTTCCCTGTTTTTAGTTGTTTTCTGACTCGTTGTTTTGGTAAAATGAGGTTTATGTAAACTGTTACATTGAACCAAACGTTTTTCACAAACAATTTATTGAAGAGCGAAAGCGAATTTACCTCAGTGCAAATTCGGCAGTTGTAAAGAATGGTGGCTTTTTAACAAAAACGACAAGCGCGGCGTTAATTGTACATGCGAGAAATCACGTTGGAGTATCTGAAGAACTAATAGGATGATATCCTATGATCGAATGTCTAGGAAGAAAAGAAAGTACGAACGAAGAAGTGCAATGGAAGAAAATACATTCTATGAGAATAGTTCAGTTCAGTTCAGTTCTTACAACCACTAACCATGCACTTTAGTGCGCCGGTTTTGGCTGCTGTCTTTTGGTGTCCCATTTGGATGACAGAGCAGAATGAAGATTGGAACGTTGAAAACAAATTCAAGCGGAAGATGGAGAATTCATATTGAATGGCATTAGGGGAATAATGAGTGAATGCACGAGCGTTACTGTGTGCGACACACAGCCATATCACTCAGTGTCTCTAACCATCATCCGGAGGTCCCCAGCTGGGAGCCTAACGAGGCCTTCATGACCCAGTCTCCTGGTTTGGATTTAAACGAATGCAGCATAACTGCTAAGTTAATGCGTATCGAAATGACGCTATCTACTCACCTGGTGTTTGCAGTGGAACTGGTCGCCCCGGGTCCATAGAGCGCCGGGGTAGTGGAATCTCCAGAGTTCCAGTTTTGTGCCACACGCAGACCAACCAACGGGGCAGACGCATTGGACTCCGTCTGATCCAAAGGTGTTCCATCTAACACATCCAAATCATCGTAAAGGCTAGATGCCATAATTCGTAGGGAGCGATAATCTGAAATAGGATATTGTTAGTAGTTATCTTTCCTTGATCCACTAATTGATATTGAAAACCGAAAACACCCCAGTATGAGTCTGACTTTAAGTAAACGTCCTTTGGATCATTGCAATAGCGGTACCTAGAATTATGCTACAAACAAGCCAAATGGTCGTCACTCTTATCATGTTCAATGCAGTGATCAAGTGGTGTGACTAGATTAGGAACTCGAGCTACTTGGATTTCGTTTTGCTTTGTACAGTGCCTGATACTGCCAGTTCATAACACTATGGAATTCGATGGATTACAATCAGTCCCTAAGAGGTTGTGCGATTTTCGTTTCCGGCACCAGTTAGCACAGACAATGAATAAGACTATCAAAATAAGATTACTGTTGACTATGGCACACAATCAAACAGCATGAACAAGAATAGAGTTGAAAACCGTTCACTAACTCGATGATAACTGCTCCAGTAGAGGTTATTTAAGTGTAATTGAACTAAAGCACTGAAAATGCATGAAATTGGCTATTTGTGATACCAGCCCTAATGTCAGTTATTTAGTATACAAAAAGAATGGGAAAATAATGAACTCTGGGGTTTCGAATTCAGACAGTTTTTGAGTGTCAACCAAATCCATAAGCAAAGTGATAAGATCAGTCGAAATTACACAGATCGTTAAACATGAGAACTGACTACGTGTGGATAACAGAAGGCAACGGGATTGATCACGCATAAGACAGAGAACATAATCTAGCCACGAGGAAAGCAACTGCATCAATTTTTCGCTTTGAACAAACTATGTAATATTAAACAGACTAAAAAAGAAAAGCACCGTATGCCCATAGTCCATGCTTTTCACTTTGGTATAATCAAAACGTTCCGTTCAATGCAAGTAAACCGATACGAACAGGAAAAGAAGAGAATGCCTACACACACACACACAAGAGAAGAACAAAGTCTTTTTGTTATCGTTTTTGTATTGTTTATTCCAGCACGAATAAATAGTAAACCGAAACAAGACATGTGAAAACAAGTCCGGTTAAGAAGCACATCTCGGAAGCGCGTGGATGTGTTCTCTATAAACGCATGTGTATGTACAACAATCAGCCTTGTGGCGTGCTCACCAGTTCAAGGGATCAGATGAAATAGAGTACAGTGGCCAAGCGGCAGCCGTAGTGGTATCGAGGATGACGGTGAAGGTTGTAACAGGAACGATAGTGAATGGATCAAAGTGAACAGGACAGTCTGAAGGGAAATCAACACTGTCATGGATAAAATTCCTGCCACAGAGGACGGTGCCATATCGATTAGTAAAGCATGAAATCAAGTGACCATCGAGAACAAGGAACAAGACTTAAGGTTTGTTATGTCAGGATACTGGTTGTCGTAAGATCGACTGGAGAAAGAAGAAGAGACCGAATGAATAGATCAGTGTTTACAAGCAAAACACCGGTTGAAATTGGAAGTGTGCGAACAGGAGACTGGATCAATTGTTACGTAAAAATGTAAGTGGGCGAAAAAATGACCACATGCATTGTTTGCAAAAACACGACAAGCCAAGAAAACAACCGAGATCATCAGGGACACATGGAAACAAATTAC